GAGGCGACATTGGCCCGGTTTTACGGAAAAGGAACCTGAAGTTGCCAGGGAAGTGTTTTTTTTTTCCAGGGAAGTGTTTTCAGATGGAAAAGTCCAAAGTCCATGCGACCTTCTGGCTTCTCTTCCGCATCAACATTACACTACCTCCCCGGAGGATCCGTGCAGATAAGCAGTAGGTGCCTGGGAACGATCCAGGGCGCTTTTTTGGAGTGCCTGCTCTGCTACTTCCTAGCTAGGTGACCTTGCCCAAGGTTTCTGAGCCAAGTCCTCACTGGAAACGTGGGTCACGGAGAAGCCCATGTAGGGCGCCCAGCAGCGGCTTGGCAAGGGACGGGCACTCGGTCAATGTCGGCTCCGCCTGCATCTCTCTGCCTTCCTTCTCCACGTCTCTTCCCCCTGCTCCTTCAAGAGCGTATTCCATCTTCCCCTTCCAGCCTGAGCCTGCCTTGTAGAGACGCAGAGGGCGCCACCCGAAGGTCAGTCTCCGCCTTGGCAGTAATCCCACCACTGGAGATTCACTGCTTGGGGTTAGAAAGATTCCCTGATCTTCAAGTGGTATTTTACTAATCTAGAAGGCATGATGCCTGAAACAGCTTTGGAAATCCCACCTAACCATGCCACCCACTGCCTCTTAGTGTGGGCTTTTAATTATTCACATACATGTAAATACAAAACCCACCCACCATTGAATCCTTCCAAATTGCCTCCAGAGGCAGAGTGAAGCACCAGCTTTGGAGTTAACCAGCTCGGTCAGGGATGTAGCAGCTCTGTGCCTTTAGACACATCACTTCATCCCTTCTAGGTGTCTCCTCAGGGCAACACGGGGATACTAAGAGTACCTACTTCTAAGGGCTGCTGGGAGATCGAAAAGACACCCAACAGATCAGTTTACCCAATGGGTAAAATGCAGGGCATACAGTAGACACTCAGTAAGCTGGAGCCGACCTCCTTCGGCAGCCAGCCACTCTTTAAGGATCCTCTCATGTTCCTTGGAGGGGTGCCTGGGTGGCTCAGTTGGTTAAGCGACTGCCTTCGGCTCAGGTCATGATCCTGGAGTCCCGGGATTGAGTCCCGCATCGGGCTCCCTGCTCGGCAGGGAGTCTGCTTTTCCCTCTGACCCTCCTCCCTCTCATGCTCTCTCTCTCTCTCTCTCTCTCACAAATAAAAAAAAATATTAAAAAAAAAAAAGAAACTGGTCGAAAAACAACAAAAACCAGTGGAGGTAAATTTCTAATATTAAAGGCTAGTTAGATGATATCGCCTCCCTAAAGGCTGTAAGCCCCAAATCGGGGTGTCTTGGTTAAAAGCAGGGAGATTAGCAAGTGTAAGAGAGGTTTAACCTTTCCAGCTGTCCAACCATCCCACAACGGACGCTTAATCCTTGCCTAACTGGAAAAATTAATAGAGAACCAAAAGAGAACATTTTTCTCTTATAAATTCATCATGAAGCTTCCCAAACTCTAGAAAACTACTGGAAGGGAGGACCAAACACAAACACCCCCCAAATCCAAAAGCCTGTGTTTAAACGCTTGCAAAATGCCTTGGTTATAATTCATTAAATCAATAACAACAAGAGGTCAGGACGACGGACGCCAGGCTTTATTGTGCATTTATGCAGAACCAGGCACCGGGCAAAGGGCTCCATGGTCCCCATCTCACCCAGCCCTCAGGGCTGTGCCACAGGGCACCCCAACCTTCCAGAGAAGAAATCCAAGAAGGGGCGAGAAGACTAGGACCCCAACTGGGTCTCGTGACCCGTCTGCAGGAAGGGAATGGTGCAAGGACTCAGGACGCGCCCACCCTTGCAATTCGTGTTTGTAACACAGCATTCTTTAATAGAGTTTTAATGACGTGAGAAACAGCTTATACTTCGGCAAAAAATAAGGGGTACAAAACATACTGCCGTATTTTCTTTTTACACTTGATCTTAGCCGAAAGGCCGAGAAGCGATGCCAGGTATTTTTTTAATGATGCACTTGAAAAAGACAGGAAAAACACCAGAAGGTTAGTCAAGGGGTTGTCTGTATAGTATCAATGGGACCCTCTCGCTCTGACATCATCACCCACCACTCTCATCTAGGTGACTCCGCTCCAGCCTCACCATCCTCCTTGAGCTTCTTGGACCACCCAGACATTCATTCCTGCCTCAGGGCCTTTGCACTGGCTGTTCCTATCATCTCTTTACGTGGCTCCTTTCACATTCCCCAGGTCTCTGTTTCAGTGGCATTTTATCACTGCTTCTCTGGCCCCAGACCATTCTATATAAAAGAGTATCCCTTACCTTGCTCCCCTGCATTTTTTTATTGCGGTGAAATTCCCAAAACAAAATTTACCATTTTAACGTGCACAAGTCAGCGGCATTTAGTACCCTCACAGTGTTGTGCAACCATCACTCCTCTCTAGATCCAAAATATTTCTATCACTCCAAAAGAAACTTCATACCCATTAAGAAGTCACTCCCCATTGGGGCGCCTGGGTGGCTCAGTTGGTTAAACGACTGCCTTCAGCTCAGGTCATGATCCTGGAGTCCCGGGATCGAGCCCCGTGTCAGGTTCCCCGCTCGGTGGGGAGTCTGCTTCTCCTTCTGACCCTTTCCCCTCTCATGCTCTCTCTCACTCTCTCTCTCTCCAATAAATAAATAAAATCTTTAAAAAAAAAAAAAGAAGTCACTCCCCATTTCCCCTCACCTGAGTCCCACTGATCTCTTCGGGCAACCACTAATCTGCTTTCCATCTCCATGGATTTGCCTATTCTGGACATTTCATAAAAATGGAGTCACACAGCATGTGACCGTTTGCGTCTGGCTTCTCTCTCTTAGCATCACGTTCTCAAGATTCATCCACGTTGTAGCAGGTATGATGCTTCACCTACTTTATTTTCCAACCCAGTACTTATAACAGCAATGAGCACAGACACTATAATCCCACCCTCCTCCTTTTAGACTACAGAACCTTGTTTCTCCATCTTGCCCAAAACCTAGCATGGAGCCTGACACAGAATAGATTCTCAATAATATCTGCTGGGAGGACGACAGGATAGCCATACGCTGTTTCCAATCCTCATACAAACCCGGCACCTAAATTTTATTATTCTCATTTTACAGATGAGGAAAGCAGAGCTCAGAGGGATTTAGTAACTTGTCCAAGATCACAACACTAAGCAGGGAGGGGAACCAGGATTCCAGCCCAGAATCAGCTGACCCAACACCTATACTGACCTTGTGCTCCAACCCAAAGTTTCTTCCTTCCTTCCTTCCTTCCTTCCTTCCTTCCTTCCTTCCTGCCTGCCTGCCTGCCTGCCTTCCTTCCTGCCTTCCTGCCTTCTTTCCTTCCTTCCTTCCTTCGAAAGAGAGTGAGGGAGGGTAGGGGTGCGCAGAGGGAGAGAGAGTCTTAAGCAGGCTCCACACTCAGCACGGAGCCTGATTTAGGGCTTGATCTCACAACCCTGAGATTATGACCTGAGCCAAAATCAAGAGTCAGATGCTTAACTGACCGAGCCACCCAGGCGCCCCAGAAAGTTTCTTTGAAAAGCAAGACATGGTCTCACCACTCCATAGCCTCAGGAACGCAACAGCATCATGTTATTCAAGAATAAAAACTTAAAAGGAAAAAACAGCCCCCAAGGATTAAGCTTAAAATAAAGACCTTCCAGTAAATATTATCATAGGCTTTAAAATTTTTTTAATATATTTAAGTCAGGCCCATAAATGGAAAATGGGCAACACCTGTAATTAGGTAAACGGCTATGTTCAGAGTATCTCCAAACAGAAGAAGAGAATATTTTTAGCCAAAAACAAATGCAGAATAGATATTTTGGTTCTTTTCGTTTGGTTCAGGGAGGCCAGTTCTGTAAACAGGCATGAACTCCACCAGCAGACACACCAATAAATAGTTTACAGACATCGCCTTCGCATGCTTAGCGGCAAGCCGAACATGCAGTTGAAGGGACAAGGGAGAGAACTTCAACCGATTTCCCAGTCAAGCCCCATTTCATCTCCTTTCTGCCCACCCTGGGGCTGGACAGTCTGGGGGCAGTCTGTGGGCAGGGGATGCGCCCAGGAGTGGGCACATGACCACCACATTAAGCGAGTCACTTCCTTCCCTGAGCTTCATTCAGTTTCCCCAACTCTAAATGAGAGAGCTGGACAAGACCATGTCTGGGACACTTTGGGTCCTAAAAATTGATATTATGTCTCCATATTAATTCAGCTTTGCTCTTATACCAACTGCTACTTCATGCTAAGGAGATACAGCTGAGAGTCCAAGAATATCTAAGACCATCCTTCCGGTAACCCTTATGACGTCTTCCTTCCCTAGAGTGCAGGAGTGGTGGGTTTAATGGAGAGTCATGCCAGATCCTCTGTTCTCTCTAATGGAGGTAGTGGAGGTCAGAGAGAGGTTCAGATCAGGCTGACAGCTGGAGGAGAAGGGAAGGGAAAGAGTAACAACCCAGTCCAATCTGTTTATCATGTTATAAACACTTTTTTCATCTTTGCAATACCCATCTTCCAGGTAAGGAAACTGAGGCCCAGGGAAGTCATCCATCTAGGGCCAAGTGAATCTCAACAAGGGTACTAAGATTATTCAATGGAGAAAAAATGAGTCTCAAATGATGCTAGAACAACTGGATATACACATGCGAAAGAATTAAGTTGGATCCCTACCTCATACTATATACAAACATTAACTCAAAGTGGATCAGTGACCTAAATGTAAGAGTTCAGATTATAAAACTGTTAGAAGAAAAGAGGGGTAAGTCTTCATGACATAGGATCTGGCAGTGGATTCTTAGGACACCAAATACACAATCAACGAAAGACAAAATAGATATGTGCATCCAAGATGTTATCAATAAAATGCAAAGACGGCCTACAAAATGGGAGAAAACGTCTGCAAATCACATATCTGATAAGGGTCTAGAATCCAAAATATATAAAGAACTCTTATAACTCAATAATAAAAAGACAACCCAATTAAAAATGAGCAAAGGGGTGCCTGGTGGACTCAGTCGGTAGAGCGTGTGACTCTCAATCTTGGGGTTGTGAGTTCAAGCCCCGTATCAGGTGTAGAGATTACTTAAAAATAAAAATGTTAAAAATATATAAACAAATAAAAAAATAAAAATGAGCAAAAGACTTGAATAGACATTTCTCCAAAGAAAATATTAAAAAGGCCAACAAGCACATGAAAACATGCTCAACATCATTAGTCATGAGGCAAATGCAAACCCAAAGCACAATGAGATACACTCAACACCTCTACTAAAAGCAAACAAACAAAACAAACAGGAAGATAACAAGTGTTGACAAGGCTATAGAGAAACTAGATCCCTCATACATGGCTAATGAGAATATGAAGGAGTACAGCTTCTGTAGAAAAGTTTGGTGGTTCCTCAAAAAGTAAAAAGAGAATTACCAGATGACCCAGCAATTCCACTCATAGTGATATCTCCCAAAGAAATGGAAACAGATGCTCAAATACTTGTTCCCAAATGTTCAGAGTAGCACTATTCCCAGTACTCAGCAGGTGCAAAAAGCCCAATGTCCGCCAACGGATGAATGGATGGACAGAATGTGGTCTATCCCTACAAAGGGAATATTACTCAGCCATAGAAAGGAATGAAGTTCAGCTACCTGCTACCACATGGATGAACCTTGAAAATATGATGCTAAGTGGAAGAAGCCATACACCAAAGGCCACAGATTGTATGACTTCATTTATATGAAATATTATATATACTTCATTTGTATGAATTATATAATGTTATATATAATATGTATTCTGTTTAATATTCTATGTAATATAATATATACAGTTATATATAATATATATTCTGTTATATATTATTATATATAATAATAGAATTCAATTGAGATATATATTATAACATATAATAACAGAATTCAGTTTATATATATAGCTATAAAATTAGAATTGGTAGATCCATACAGAGGGAAAGCAAATTGGTGGTTGCCAGGTGGTGGCGGAAGGGGGAATGAGGACTGACTGCTCAGTGGGGCTCTTTTGAGGGAGAGGGTGGGGTAGGAAGAAAATCTTTTGGAGCTAGACAGAGGTGGTGGATGACATTATGAATGTATTAAATATCACTAAAGCTTATACTGTAAATATTTAATTTTGCATTATGTTTATCTCAATTAAAAATAAGAAAGAAAAAAAAAGTTACAGAACCAGTTTCTGGGTCAGCAGCCTTACCTTCCTTGTACGTGTACTATTACTTCCCATATTTGTTATTTTTTAAGATTTTATTTTTAAGTAATCTTCCCACCCAACGTGGGGCTCAAACTCACGACCCCAGATCAAGAGTCACATGATCCACCAACTGAGCCAGCCAAGTGCCCCATTACTTCCTTTTCTTTTTCTTTTTTTAAGAGAGAGAGAGAGTGTGTATATGCCTGTGAGTGGGGGAGGGGCAGAGCCAGAGGGAGTGAGAGAATCCCAAGCAGGCTCCACACCCAGCACAGCGGAGCCCAACACAGGGCTCGATCCCACAAACCCGAGATCACAACCTGAGCCAAAATCAAGATTTGGATGCTCAATCGACTGAGCCAACCAAGCACCCCTACTTCCTATTTTTAATTTATTTATTATAATTTATATTTTATATAATTTTTTTTATATATTTTTATAATTTTTATAAAAATTTTTATAATTTTTATATATTTTATATATATATTTATATATATTTTATATATAATTTTATAAAATTTTTTATAATTTATTAAAAAAATTTTTATAATTTTTATATATTTTATATAATTTATATTTTAATTTATTTATTATAAGCTTTTTGATTTATTTGAAAGGAAACTGTATGTGGAAAATACCATCCATCAGAAGGTAATCTTAAAAATAAATGCATCAGTCCTTTTCTTACTGCTTTGTTTAAAAAAAAAAAAAAAACAGTAAGGTTAAAAAAAAAAACAAACCAGTAATGTTAAAAAAAAAAAAGCAAAAAACCAGTAAGGTTGCCCTGAGGGACACTTAGCATTTTTTTAAAGATTTTATTTATTTATTTGAGAGAGTGAGCGAGCAAGAGAGAGCATGAGCGGGAGAAGGCGCAGAGGGAGAGGGAGAAGCAGGCTCCCCACTGAGCAGGGAGCCCGATGCGGGACTCGATCCCAGGACCCTGGGATCACGACCTGAGCTGAAGGTGGACACTTAACTGACTGAGCCACCCAGGTGCCCCAACATTTAACATTTTTAATTATTGTTTTATTTTTCTTTAAACTCCAGAAGTGGTTGGTCATGTAAAATGTACAATGAAGTTAGGATGGATTCTGTTACAATTATCCTCATTAAATACATACTGCTTGCACGTAAAGACAGGTAAGTAGATAAATGGGTAGGTAGATAGATAAATAGGAAGAATTTTTTTTAAGGCAGAATTCAATTGATGAACAGAAAGTGTTCTTGGATATGAGCCTGCTCTCTCTGTTAAAAAAAATAAAATCATCAAGTGTTCCAGGGATGTTAAAGCTAAATTAACACTGAACTGAGACTTTCTCCTCCACAAAGTTAGAAAGATTAAAAGAGAGGGGCGCCTGGTTGGCTCAGTTGGTTAAGCGTCTGCCTTCAGCTCAGGTCATGATCCCAGGGTCCTGGGATCGAGCCCCTCATCGGGCTCCCTGCTCGGCGGAAAGCCTGCTTCTCCCTCTCCCTCTGGCCCTCTCCCCGACCTCTGCTTTTGCTCTCTCTCTCTCCTCTCAAATAAATAAATAAAATATTTAAAAAAAAAAGAAATATTTCTTTTCCATAACCAAATGAAGAGCACAAGGGAAGTGAAATGTGGTAATTGTCACTTGGCCTCAATGTGAGGCAATAGGGCATGGTGGGGACTGGGGCAGATGGGAGAGAGAGGCCCTCCCTATAATTGGCAGCCCCTCTAAGCTCCAGCCAATGGTTGCTACCAGGTCTGATGATATTGGACCCCCCAATTTTTTTAAGGAAAACCGGACATTCAGAAATTCAGAATTTTTTTCATGTGACCTGTTTTGACTTTTCAAATACTGGCTCAAATTGCTTTTCTAAACATTGTGCAGGTGAAGCAAGACATTTGCAGGACAAACATGGCCCAGGGGACACCAACCTGCAATACTATTAGCCCTATTTTGAGAGATGAGGGCACAGTGTTCCAGAGAGAGGAAGGGGTTTGCCTGGGGTCCCCAAATGGTAAGTGGTAGGATGTCTCTAGAACATGGGCTTGTTCCACTGGTTCAGCCTTAGGGAAGACGGGCCAGTGAAATGAACACTCATATTACAGATTCAGTCCAGGTTCTATATCCCCCCATTCACCAGCGGGGAACCCAGCCCCAGCCCATGGCGTCTGGTCCTTAGCACTGGACGTTTGGGGCTGGCGCCTCAGAACCATGGTGCAGGGGGGTTATCAAATCACGCCAAGGTGGAGCTGGCCTGCATCTTGAGAGGATCACATGCTGGAGCTGGGGGTGAGGACATGGAGACTCAGGCCTCTCCCACTAAGTTCTTTCCTTTCATTTTCTTTTGGTTCCTAACATTTTGTTGTGGAAAATTTCAAACCCACAGAAAAGCTGAAAGAATAGCAGAGAACATCTGTACACCTGCCTTGCCACGTCTACCATTGACATTCTGCTTCTTCACCTGTCGCCCCTCCGTCTGCCCACCCACCCGTCCATCTGTCCACCTTTTTATTTTATTTCGTTTTGATGCCTTTGCAGAGATTGGGCACTTCACCCGTCCAGAGTTCAGGCTGTGGATTCCTTTTCTTTCTAAGCTTTGGCTCAAAAGTAATTAATGAAGACATTCTTTTTGTAAAGGAAGGGAAACATTACAGGAACGTGAACTTGCCTTCCACCACCCCTGCCTCAGCCTGATCCTGTGTCTAGGGATGACCACAGCCACCCGCAGCACGCCCTGTATCTCTACATACCTTTTTCTGAGCTTTGAAGTATCTATAGGTAGCCACGGAAAAGAAGCATGCTACTCTGTTGCAAGCTTCTTCTTCTTTTTTTTTTTTTAAACAAAAATTGTGCTTTCCTGGACATGTCGTCCTCCAGTTTGCTTTTCCACTCAACACCTTCTCGCGTCAGCATGAGGTTCTACCTTATCCCTTTCTGCAGGCTGCAGAGTCGTCCACAGTAAGAATACATCGCAGGTTTAATCTACCCACGCCCCCAGCTGATGGACGTTGAGATTGTTTATACCTGGTGTCATTTCTTTTTTAGCTTTTGTCCCGGTTTCTTTGTGTTTCCGTAAGTGCTCCGTGTTAAAGATCACTTAGAGTAGGTAACCCCCGGGGTGGTCTCTGCAGTGTTGGGAGCAGCGGTGAGTTACTGCAGCCGGG